AAGGCCTCTCCGCCCCCCCCCCCCCCCCCCTCTTCTGTCTTTTTGTGTATTTGTTGGTGCATTACCATCAAAAACAAAATGAACTGGCTGAGGGCGGAGATATGCTAATATGGGACAGTCTGTCAGCAGCCGTGGGCGGGGCCACTGATGATTGAGCCGCTGATGACACGCTGCTGAAACTTGATGATTGAGACTTTAGTTTTTTTGGGGATTAAAAAAAAGGAGTGAATGGATTTGTATCATTGTAGGGGGGTTGTGTTCACACACTGCTGAGACACATTCATATGCAAACACCATGTAAAAGTGAATTTTGCATCCGATGCCCCCTTACAGCTAAACATCAACACTTTTTTTGTGTCAGACGTATGCCAACGTGACACCCAGCAGTACCTGGTGATGCCAATGAAGGCCACTTCCTGGCTGGTGGTGTTGTTGACCAGTGAGACGCCCATGTTCTGTAACGAGATGCAGGTCTCCTGTTCAGCCAGCTCTATTTTCTCATTATCGCAAATCTTCTTGAAGACACACTGCTCGGTGGTGAAAAGCGCCACACGTTGGAGGCCTTCATAAAATGAGACAACAAAGAATTTTCCCTCCTTGCTCACATCCAACAACTGGTCCTATAGAACAAATGAAAACAAGGACCCAGACAGGAATTCAGTTTCACATCTTCAATGAAGAGTGAGGTTAAGTCCATAAAGTTTGGTTCAGTAATTAAATAAATTAATTTGATCACAATTAAATATTGCAATCAATTATCAAACTTGGTTTGTATTTCTCACCTCTTCGCTCTTGAGCTCTCCTTTGTACTTGCCACACTTCCAGCTCAGTATTCTTGAGCCGGTCGGTTCGGCCCAGGTGTAGTACACCGCCTGACCTGGAGCCAGCTCATCCATTTCTGCCTGAGAGCTGCCAGAATCAAACCATTAGTTGACCTGATTATTTTATGTTTGTTCAGACTATATAAAAGTGAGACACTTTTTTGAGAGAAAGTTGAAATCATGACGTCAATGCAGCCGCAGCAGGCAAGCGCTCACAGGCGTAAAACACATCATTATAGAAACCACAGAAATAACAGGCCCATAGTATTAACAAAACAATATCCGAGAATAATTTACACTTGATATAGAGCACAGGCAGTTAATTTCCCTTTAACAGCAGCCAAAGTCACAATAACCAAGTGTCCAATGAGAGAAAAAAGAAAATTATTCATGCTCCGTATCTTATCAGAAGCCGGAGCTCCACTGACACACAAGAGAATACAGTTCATTTGTTAGGAAGCGGAAATGAAAGCAGCTTTAAGCACAGAACCAGGAGGCAAGTAAGTTAATTTCGGTTTTCTTGTCCACTAGATGCAAAACACCTGACGGGTTGCAAAATCATCATCAGGAAGAGAGTGATTCACTTCAGACTGCAACCTTATACGCTGTGGAAGGAAAATGAGTTCTGTACTCATGATTTTCCCCAAAGTATTTTGGAAGGGGTCGAGCGGCTCGCTTCACCAGACTGTTAAATCCCATGTTAGCTTGCAAGGAAAAGAAAGAAATACTGTTTCATGCATCTCAACCAACATCCCGTTGTCTGTCAGAGTGCTGTGAAAGAGTGTACCAGAAGGATTCAGTCTCTTCATACAATGATAAAGAGACATTCACTCTCTCATCCCGAAGCCAAGTAGAAGATTTCCGTATACTGGCGCTACAAAGGAAAGAAGAAAACAACAAAAATGCAACAAAATAAAACATAAAACATTCTAGCAACATAAATACCACAAAGCGTACAAAAAAAGCACACTATAAAACTCAATTAAAGCATTTAAAAAAATGTAATACAGACTGTAGTGTAAAGTTTCAGTGAATGCTAAAAGAGCAAAGATTCTTTCATTTTTCACTGCATTAACACTACATTCAAAAAAAGTAGGCAAGAAAAAAACAGATGAAGAATAAAAAAAAACCTTGAAAGTGGTTTAAAATTCTGGTTTACCGGCCACTCCCATCTATGAACTGCAATGCCATTTTTAACTTGATTGTCAGATGAACAAAGAAAACCAAAGAGGTTGCATTTAAAAATTACTTATTTTTTTATGTTATATTTACTGTATGAGCAGTATATTATAAAACACAACTTACATAAATGTTTACTTATTTGTCAATTTCCAAATGTAATTATCATTGTATATTATATATATATGTATATATATATACATACATTTTGATTTCCTCTTTAGGGCTCAAGTATAAGGACTTTTGATAACGACCTGATTTGTACATTTATTTTTTACCAAAATGTATTAAGAAAGAAAATAAAGTCAATTTTTCATAAATTCAAATGTAATGAAAGAACTGTCACCATGTAATCCTTCTGTTCCCCTTTGCATTTGACGTCACCGTAACTCCCAACAGTGTCGATGGAGAAATCATCTGATAATTCACTTTCTGAAATCATCAAGCGAATCTGTGAACAACACAGTGACAGACAGAGAAGTCAGACACTTGATCAGTAAAACAGCTGAATGTTTCCTACATGCTTGATGACATTATTCCAAACCTTGTTGTTCTGCAGAAAGTTGCGTGGCTTGAAAGAGAAGAGGAGGGGCATGTCGTAATCCTTCGGGTGTTTGCGATGAATATCATCTGCCTTGTATTGCAACAGTCTGCCTGTCTTATTCACCATCCAGTACGGGGAGTGGATGGCCACCACCAGCTGACCCTCCTCCTTCTTAACATGGACAGCGATGTTTAGCTCCGGCCTCGTCTCCGTCTCCTCGCCCTCTCCCAGCGAGAGGAACCTGATGAAGCTGATCTCGTCACAGTCGCTGCAGAGACTGTACTTGGCCTCCCAGTCCTGCTGCAGGTATCCCAGCAGCTTCAGCTCCAGAGTGGAGAAATCCATGATAGCGGTGTGGATCTGGGAGGAGTGGCCTGCTTTCAGTAAGGAAGAGGGGAAATCTCCATTGCCCTGTAAACAAAACAGTTTTGTAAAATATGCAACTATACATTTAATACCCGTTACGTGCCTAAAAGTAATCTTTTTTTTAATAGAAATGCCAATCTATTCTACAAAAATCTCCAAGCAGACTTTGACTTGGGTGGAATTTCCAACAGCAGCGGTTTCATAATAAAAAGACAGCTGTAAAATGTATTCCCTGTCCACACATTACAGGATGCATTCAAGCATTTTACAAAAGTAAATACTATCACCATCCTTCTTTTTTGATGATTAGCTGTCATACTTGGAACTGAGATAAAATAATCAAAAATAATTATCGATTTAATTCTTTTAGTGTGTAATATGTCATGTTTATATTTAAACAACGTTGATGGATTTTTTTTATTTTTGAGTTAAGTGCCTTTCAAAATATCAAAATAATTTTTCATTTAAAAAATAATAATAATTAGCTGCATATTCATTAAAATTATCAGGTGATTATAATTACTCGGGGTGCATTTATATTAAAATTTATGTTCGATACCGATAAGCTGATTTTTTTTTATTCATGTTATGGCTGGTAACCGATGAATCTCCATTATTAAAAGTGTATACCATTTTGTATTAATCAATAAAAAAAAAAGAATACTTACATCTAAAAGGAAATACTTTTAACAAAAAAATGTTCATTTCATTTTATTTCATTACTTTGGTGTAAATGTCATGTTAAAACCAAAGAGGTTGCATTTAAAAATTACTTATTTTTTTATGTTATATTTACTGTATGAGCAGTATATTATAAAACACAACTTACATAAATGTTTACTTATTTGTCAATTTCCAAATGTAATTATCATTGTATATTATATTACATACATTTTGATTTCCTCTTTAGGGCTCAAGTATAAGGACTTTTGATAACGACCTGATTTGTACATTTATTTTTTACCAAAATGTTCACTGGCCCTACCACAGAAAAAAAATAAATGGTACGTTATTTTTAGCACCAAATTTTTACCTACCAGAAAACAATTAATAGAAATCATTTACAAGGTTAATTTGAAATTACAGCCAGAAATTATAGAAATATGATTAATATGGATTCATCGCAAATCATATCACCAAATCCATCCCCATATTACACAGCTAGATAACGATACCTCGACACATTTAATTCAGACAATACACAGTTATAATATTCAATTCATCAATCGAAACCAAATGTTTGGCAGGCATATAAACACGTATAGCTCATGATTAACAGGGTCAAAGACAGTCCCGTCAACTGGCCCTGGACCACCGGAGACTCCTTACTGCCGTCTCTCATTGTGCCCTTTAAACTCTGGTGTACTCTGAACTTTGATCTTGCACAATCACGTCATGCGTTTGTCATTCTCACCTCTGGTGAAACTGTAGCATCTCGTCTTTAGTGTGGTTGATGAGGAGGAATGGAGCGGCACCGTCATGGTAATCAGAGAACCGGATGACGGCAGAATGTTCGGTCAGATTCACATCCACAATAATACCACCCAACTACACACAAGAGGAAACAAGAAAGGGATAAATCGAGGGAGAGTGTGCTTGTGTATCTCTCTCTCAGTCGGTCACTCACGGTTTTGTCCAGGTGCAGCAGGAGGCAGTTCTCTGGCTGGTGGAAGTCAAACGGCCGTGGCGATGATTGGCAGCCCTCCACTATGACTCGGAGTTTCTTTGAGTCTTTTTCTGGCCAGAACGGAACCGCAACCTAAGAAGCAGATGGTAAATCTCAAAATTCAGAGAATCATATTAACATTTCATCTGGTACAGTGGGTTATATTTCCTGACCTGTCCGGGTCGGGCCTCTGTCCATTGATCCAGCCCTTCCTCACAGACTCGGATTATGTGCTTGGTGCTGTTCACCAGCATGTAGAAAAAATATCAAAATAATTTTTCATTTAAAAAATAATAATAATTAGCTGCATATTCATTAAAATTATCAGGTGATTATAATTACTCGGGGTGCATTTATATTAAAATTTATGTTCGATACCGATAAGCTGATTTTTTTTTATTCATGTTATGGCTGGTAACCGATGAATCTCCATTATTAAAAGTGTATACCATTTTGTATTAATCAATAAAAAAAAAAGAATACTTACATCTAAAAGGAAATACTTTTAACAAAAAAATGTTCATTTCATTTTATTTCATTACTTTGGTGTAAATGTCATGTTTTAATTAAAACAATGCCCAGATGTGCCTTGTGTGTGTGTGTGTGCATAAATGTTTGTGAGAGAGTGTGTGTGTGTGTGTGAGTGTGTGTGTGTAAGAGTGTGTGTGTGTGTGTGTGAGTGTAACAGAGTGTGTGAGTGAGCGTGTGTGTGTGTACAGGTATATATGGTTTATGGGTACTACAACGTAAACATGGTTTATGAGGACACTTCCTGTGTCCCCATAAAACAAAAGGCTTAAAAAACATATAAAACTGTGTTTTATGAAATTCAAAAATTGCCAGTAGTTTCCTGTGAGGGGTAGGTTTAGGTGTAGGGATGGTGTAGGGCAATAGAAAACACAGTTTGTACAGTATAAAAACCATTAAGCCTATGGAGAGTCCCCGTAAACCACAAATACAAGTATGTGTGTGCGTGAGCGTGTGTGTGAGCTTGTTGTATTTAAAGATGATCTTTCATGAGATGATTGCAAAATTAATATAAATGGTAAAATAGGGGAAATGAGCATGCACAGATAATAAAAATATCCAATATCTGCCAATTTGCAGGTAATACAAACTGAGACAGATAAATTAAATATCTCCATAATTATTATAAAAGACCACAACCACAACATATCTGATGCAGTGGAGAGGGACTGTAAGGTGTCTTGTACCTTTATCTTGAAGGTGATGGGGTACGGCAGGAGGTTGCGGAGGAGAACGGTGGGCCACAGGTGCAGAATGATGGGCTTGTCAAACTCCTCCTCGGGGCTGTGAGACATCACAGTGTCTGGAAGAGGAACCATGTTGATCTTCAGCATCTGGGCGCTGTCTCCTTGATGATGGCAGGTTTTCTCCAGACACTCTCCGGGCTTCTGATTCACCTCATTATAAGTGAAACCCTCAGAGTGGTCGTACTGCTCCTCGCCTTCAGTTACAGGCTGCAGGCTCAGTTCAGCTCTGGAAAAAAACAAAAAAACAAATCAATAAATAATTGAAAATGCCAAAATGAAAAATTCAGGCTCAATACAATTTATAATATAATTAATATTTTAGCATTTCAAGGACATTTTTCACCCTTAGATTTAAACACGCTAGTTTTTATCCATGACAAACTTAAAACTATAATATTAATTCAATATGAATATGAAGATAAACTTTCAGTGAGATGATGGCAGATTTATAATAAATATAAAAATAGGGGAAATGAGCATGCACTGTTAAATATCCAATTTTGCCAGATTTGTATCCAATATAAACTGAGACCAATAAATTAAGATATCTCTAACACTGGCAGATAACCACATATGGTACCGTAACAGTGGACATCCCTAATAATTATAAAAGATAATAACTGTGACAAGCAATTATTATAATTATAACTTATTTAAAGGTATGTTCTCTAGAAAAACTCTTAAAATGTTTGCTTCCTAAGTAAATAGATTTTTTCCTGAACAACTAGACAAAAAATACAGATGCAGAAAGAGTTTTTCAGAGTGTATGTTTGTGAAAGTGGACAGTTAGACAGAGCTGACCGTCCTGTGCTGTAACATACCTGTAGGAGCCCAGCGGCACACAGAACTCCTCTGTAGGCAGAGAGATGCCCAGACACTCAGATCCCTCATAAACACGGAACGCCACCGAGAAGTGATTGATAATCTAGAAAATCAATACGAAACAATAACAGCATCAACAACCAATCTGTTAACAATAAAATAAAACTTCCATTTATTAAATGCTGTAGATAATTTCAATATTTTTTACAGCTATTAATACAAGTATGTTACAGAATTCTCTCTCAAAATCAGTGTAAAAATGCGTGTAGGTTTAATGAGGAGTCATTTTCAAAGGGAAGGGTCTGTTGTATATAGTGTGTGTGAGTTTAGGATTTAAATATATCCACCTGGAAAGGAGAGCGGATCTTGACATATTTGCTTCCCTCGGCAGTGTAAATCTGACAGACAAAGAAACGAGTGACACCAGAGTCACGGTGCATGACGCTGTGCATGTCCCGTCCTGTTTTGATTAGTGGGATTACACTTGCGGTAGTGTGGCCAACTGGAGCTGGAGAAGAGGAAAAGTGGAAAAAAAAATCTAGTTTTTGTCTAGCAATTTTGCAGAATGCAACTATAGCATTTTGGATTTTCATTACATATCATTTTAAAACCACTGTATCTCTTTTAATTCATATTTAATTTCACCATTTTTTGTGTTCATTTCAAATTCAGATAACAGAAACAATGTGGGTTTTAATTATATAATTTAATTTACCTTAAATTCTTATTATTTTAAGTAATTTGTCACTTGTAATTGTGACAATGGATGCCTTTATTGTACACACTCTTATTGTACACATGGGGGATGTCGTGGCCTAATGGTTAGAGAGTCGGACTCATAACCCAAAGGTTGTGGGTTCGAGTCTCGTACCGGCAGGGATTGTAGGTGGGGGGAGTGAATGTACAGCGCTCTCTTCCACCTTCAATACCATGACTGAGGTGCCCTTGAGCAAGGCACCGAACCCCCAACTGCTCCCCGGGCGCCGCAGCATAAATGGCTGCCCACTGCTCCGGGTGTGTGTTCACGGTTTGTGTGTGTTCACTGCTGTGTGTGTGCACTTTGGATGGGTAAATGCAGAGCACTAATTCCGAGTATGGGTCACCATACTTGGCCACATGTCACAAAAGGTTCTTTATAGTGTAAAAAGGCTCTTTAGATTATTAAAATGTTCGTCAAACATTATTAAATGGGGAAAAAATAAAACTGAATAAGTGTAGTACTAAATCTTGTAAAATGTTTGTATTGTTGTAAAATACATTCATGAAAAACAAGTAAATATTTTTGTATATAAATAGGCAGTAACATATGACAGATAGGACAGAACAAGAAAGGCTATTAATCTTTCATTGCGCAAAAGTATTATTACATGAAAGGCTCCCGCTTATGTGCATCCCGTGTGCAGAATGACGCGCTTGAAGCAACACGGAGTCACAGCGCTCTGCATAGAAAAGTTCAAAGCACAAAGGGAAGAGATACTGATGCGTAGTGTATTATATCTGTGCGATGGTTTATTGAGTCTTTTCTTTTAACAGTTTTAAATTTCAGTTACTGTGCGCATGAACAACAATTCATAGTGCTCTCTACTCCAGTGTAGTGATCTAACAGACACCCGGTAGAAAGAAACGTGATTTAGTAACAGCACTAAACTCCAGCAAGATAAAGTACTTTTATGCAAAACCACTGATCTTTATCTACAGATCAAGTATAATAGGAACATTGAATCATCTTGGAAAGAGTTTCATCGTCGTAACTGAACGCGACACGCAGTTTGAACGCTGAATGGAGGAAGACTGACAGCCACAGTGGAGAGAAGAGTTTATGTGAACTTGAATTTAACAAATATATATCTGTACCTCACATTAAACTATGGAACGGCTTCACAAGACTTGGAATATAGTGCACGAAAACTATGCTGCTTTATAAAGTTTTTGTGCCTTTTGTGGGACTTAATAATAACACAGAACAGTATACGCACAATATCGCATTTGGATCGATACGGAGTATTAGATCAGCGCATCCCTACTAGTGTAATGCTGAGATATATATTCAAAGTCATGGGTTATGCAGTCTTACTGGGCTGTATGTAGTTTTTGGCACTGAGGCTGGTCATGGTTTAATTCATATTTAATTTCACCATTTTTTGTGTTCATTTCAAATTCAGATAACAGAAACAATGTGGGTTTTAATTATATAATTTAATTTACCTTAAATTCTTATTATTTTAAGTAATTTGTCACTTGTAATTGTGACAATGGATGCCTTTATTGTACACACTCTTATTGTACACATGGGGGATGTCGTGGCCTAATGGTTAGAGAGTCGGACTCATAACCCAAAGGTTGTGGGTTCGAGTCTCGTACCGGCAGGGATTGTAGGTGGGGGGAGTGAATGTACAGCGCTCTCTTCCACCTTCAATACCATGACTGAGGTGCCCTTGAGCAAGGCACCGAACCCCCAACTGCTCCCCGGGCGCCGCAGCATAAATGGCTGCCCACTGCTCCGGGTGTGTGTTCACGGTTTGTGTGTGTTCACTGCTGTGTGTGTGCACTTTGGATGGGTAAATGCAGAGCACTAATTCCGAGTATGGGTCACCATACTTGGCCACATGTCACAAAAGGTTCTTTATAGTGTAAAAAGGCTCTTTAGATTATTAAAATGTTCGTCAAACATTATTAAATGGGGAAAAAATAAAACTGAATAAGTGTAGTACTAAATCTTGTAAAATGTTTGTATTGTTGTAAAATACATTCATGAAAAACAAGTAAATATTTTTGTATATAAATAGGCAGTAACATATGACAGATAGGACAGAACAAGAAAGGCTATTAATCTTTCATTGCGCAAAAGTATTATTACATGAAAGGCTCCCGCTTATGTGCATCCCGTGTGCAGAATGACGCGCTTGAAGCAACACGGAGTCACAGCGCTCTGCATAGAAAAGTTCAAAGCACAAAGGGAAGAGATACTGATGCGTAGTGTATTATATCTGTGCGATGGTTTATTGAGTCTTTTCTTTTAACAGTTTTAAATTTCAGTTACTGTGCGCATGAACAACAATTCATAGTGCTCTCTACTCCAGTGTAGTGATCTAACAGACACCCGGTAGAAAGAAACGTGATTTAGTAACAGCACTAAACTCCAGCAAGATAAAGTACTTTTATGCAAAACCACTGATCTTTATCTACAGATCAAGTATAATAGGAACATTGAATCATCTTGGAAAGAGTTTCATCGTCGTAACTGAACGCGACACGCAGTTTGAACGCTGAATGGAGGAAGACTGACAGCCACAGTGGAGAGAAGAGTTTATGTGAACTTGAATTTAACAAATATATATCTGTACCTCACATTAAACTATGGAACGGCTTCACAAGACTTGGAATATAGTGCACGAAAACTATGCTGCTTTATAAAGTTTTTGTGCCTTTTGTGGGACTTAATAATAACACAGAACAGTATATGCACAATATCGGACGCAGTTTGAACGCTGAATGGAGGAAGACTGACAGCCACAGTGGAGAGAAGAGTTTATGTGAACTTGAATTTAACTTAAATATATATCTGTACCTCACATTAAACTATGGAACGGCTTCACAAGACTTGGAATATAGTGCACGAAAACTATGCTGCTTTATAAAGTTTTTGTGCCTTTTGTGGGACTTAATAATAACACAGAACAGTATACGCACAATATCGCATTTGGATCGATACGGAGTATTAGATCAGCGCATCCCTACTAGTGTAATGCTGAGATATATATTCAAAGTCATGGGTTATGCAGTCTTACTGGGCTGTATGTAGTTTTTGGCACTGAGGCTGGTCATGGCTGAGAACTGGTCACTGGACTCAGCAGTGTGGGTGTAGTCCATATTCAGACTCTCTCCATCCTGGAGCTCCACCACACGATTTTTAGACTCTTTACCGATGGGTCTAAACACTTCGCTGTGCAGCACTGCCACCGGCAAACCCAAACGATTCTTCACCACAAACGGAGCCTGGTCCTTCTGAAAGCTTTCAGCGGTCTGCTTAGTGGCCTCTGCAAATGCCTGCAAAACAAACAGAAGAAACTACTCATCTGTAACATCTGTAAGAGAAAGACAGCCCTTTTTAACTATCTCACACTGCAATCATCTTAATCTCTTACCGTTCCTAGATTGCTGAGCATGTGGAGGCCACACTTGGAGAGGGTGACGTTAAGCTGGTCTTTACTTGTGAAGCTGATGACCGTTTTATAATCAGGCACACTGCCGTCCACCTCGTCAGATACTCCAGAATGTGATACTGGCTTCTTCTTCATCTGTAGATACAACATTATTTATTTCTTGAACTCATGAAAAGTTGTCAGTAACATTTTAGGCATGAAATGAAAGGTAACCTTCATTGCTAGAGTCCATGGTCTGAAGCCATCTTTCTCCTCATTATCAAGAGGCTCCAACAGTGGTTCCCATAAGCCCATCATCTCATTATAATAATTAACCTACAGGAAACAAACAACTTGATATAGGTAAAAACTGCTGTGAGCATGTAAGATATGCTGCTGCTGCTGCATTAATATGCATACATAAATCCAGTGGCAAATCTAGACAGGTGGTGCTGGGGGAGGTGGAGGGTTTCAGAGGAACTCAAATAGTGCTGCAGGACAAGTTTACAGTAACACTGAACCAGATTATTTAAATGTTAAGCAAGCAATCTCATCAAATGCGGAATCTGCCAATGAGCTTGTGCTATGTAATAAATTTTGTGATTGCCAGCAGATTGTATTTAAAGGGCCTATCAGCCTGCGCGATCTAGAGTTTCATGACTGAATTAGATATGTGTACAATGTATTAAAATATCTTCTGACCTCCAGGTCTAGGTGACAGTGTAGGTTAATGAGAGTACTCCAGTTTTTCACGTTTCCCTGGAACGAGGCTTTGGCCAGCAGCATGGGCACAGTGCGATGGCCCACCCCGGCCTCCAGCGTCAGGCAGATGGTGTGGATGTTCATTTTGAGAGACTCTCCATGAGGAACGAGTGGAATGACAGACCGGGTGACATTCTCTTCTTCCTCCTCCAGGAACCAGAGCTTTAGGTCTCGCAGGTTGCGACGTTCCCAAAGATCCTGTGGCACAGGACTCTCCAGTTCCTCAGGGGTTTCAGCTGCAGGGCTCAGCGCTGACTGAATGGTGATAACGGTGTTTAGGATGATGGGAGACACCTTAGGAAACAGGAAGTGAGTGGACAGGGCAGGAAAGGGGTCATTTTCTATATTTTTGCAGTATTTTTTCCCCTGAAGTCCCCATATAATGTGTTTCAAGGAACCAAAAAAAAAAACAGTTGGAATTTAGTTTAGTTTTTTATTTTATGCCTTCTTACCCTCAGAATTCAAATCAGTTTTGCTACTATACCTTTAAGACACTAATAATTTCAAAATATGAAATAATCACAATTTCACATGATCATCACATGTTCAGCCTCACCTTGAGCGTGAGGGAGCTGATGGACAGCTCGATGGACTGTGGCTGGGAAGGTGATTGGCTGCTCTGAAAGAACACCTGACAGGGTTGAAGCACCGTCGTCACGTTGTGCTCACGCTTCTCTCGCAGGAGCGGACACGCCACCACCTTCAGGTCTGAAATGGCAGCCGTCATCGACTGGCCGCTGGGTTCGTTCTTCATCACCAGCTCACACTGCGTCGTCATAACTAGAGCCGGAGCTTCAGCGCGTGTGAGGTCGGCCACAAAAACGATCTCAGGATTCTTTACCACAATGTTCATCTCAGTTTTGGCAACCACTGGTGCAGCAGGAACCGCTAGCAAAGGTAAGGCACAAATCACCATTGATTCCATTTACGGCACAATGCTTCCCTGCCACTGAAAGAATTTTCCTGCATTCCATGTTTTCACTGTTATACAATAGGGGGGCGATATTATTCGTCTTTCGAATTTCGAATTAGAATCTCGGGTTCAAAATGTTGCTTTTTTAAAAGAAACTTACCCACATTCAAGTGTTGATAAAAAAGAATGCATGAAACTAGGACAAAATGTTTTAAATTTTTGTTCTGTTCTGTTCTTTCTTCTGAATTATTATATGTTCAGATATTCATACAACAAAATGATCAAAAATACTATGTTTGACTCTTAAGTTTATAAGACTATCTTGAAGAAAACCTGACTTCATCAAGGTGGTGCTGAAGTACAATCACTAACCTGGGTCTTTAGACGAACTGGCGGGTTGTTTGTTTTTCGGGGAACCAGAGAAGCCATCTGCCATAGCTTTAAGAAAGACATCAGCTACTGTGAGCAGGAACTCCATACTGGCACACAGATAGAGGTCCTGAACCAGGGTGTCCAGCACGGTGCCGTCCCGGCCTTGTCGGTAACTCATGTCTACCATCACATTGCCTTCCCTACCCTGACGCATCGCCATCATCCTAAAGCAGCATGAAATTATTGAAGAAAACCCAGATACTGACATTTAATGACTGAATGAGTAACTTTATTTAACATAAGTTCACAACTAACAATTTTTATTAATCAATGAATCGGTTGGTTCTTTCTTTGATTAATCGATTAATTGGATATGCAATCATATTTTGTGCAAAAATGGTTTAAAATACAAATGTTAACTTTGTACATATAAAACATGATTTAACACAAACTGGAGCATCTTTATTAGGTCATGATCTGTGTTTGATCTACCTGGATGTGATCATTTTCACCCTCTGTCTCTTGTCATCCAGCAGACAGTTTGTGAGTTTGAGGGAGGCTTTCATGGAGCTGTCAGAGAACATGTGCACAGCGGTGGAGATGGTGCCCAACATGAACTCTGCCAACTTCAAACTCTCATCACGGAAGTCTGATAACTGGATCTGTATGTAAACACATAAACCGATTCTAAAAGCTAGAACACAAAATATTTAAACCTGGCTTCACATGCAATCATTACACTCGTCTACTGTGAATCGAGTGCATTTTGTCACCTCATTGTTGTTGGGGCTGTACAGGACTAGTGTCATGGAGTCAAACTTAAAGTCCAGTTTCAGAGTGTTCTTTAGTTTGCCAGTTTTCGGGCCCTCCACCACTGCTGCGGTCACAACCGTGTTTCCTACAACACAATAAAAAATAAAAAAAATACTGTTTGAGACATTTATCTGAATACAATCTGAAAAAAAACAAACATATTTATTGTTTTTAAATCAGGTAATCTCCAAGACATCCAAATTCTGAATTGGAAAATACATATAAATTAATATATACTTGGTTAAATATGTGCTAACTATTACAAACCAGAACAAAACAAAAAAAACACAAAGTATGCTTGATGCAACCTATGCATTAGTAATCGATAAAGCTTCACAATCTGTGTTTGTGTGTATTTTATACCTCCAGAACTCTGAGAATCCTTGGTAGAAACCGTGTCTCCCTTATCAGGGCTGGATGGAGCTGGAGGAGCATCAGAATTCTCAGACAGATTCTCACTCAGAGTCTTCAGCACTATAGTTAGGTCCTCCTGGCTCAAGATTAGCTGAAATAAATGCACATTGATATTAGCTGTAATATCCCCTACAGCTATAAGATAAGATACAGAAACAAACACAAATATATGCACTTACGCTCATGGGTTTGAGGTGTGCATTGATCTGGATGTCAGGAATGCTGTGATACCAGGAGGCAGAGAGATTGCGTTTGATTGACAGGTCCATGTTGACTGGTTTGAGTAACTGAAGTTCACTCTTAAATTGTCCATCAGTGAATGTGGTCCTGAGGTAATAAAGGAATATTAAAAACATCATTAATCAAACAATGGAAATGTAATTTCAGGGATGTTAAACCACATTTATTAATTAATTCAAACCAGTCAATTTATTCAAAATTTCCAAACTAACCTGTACATTTTAAGATCACTCAGTCCCACGGCCATGATGTCCATGACAGGGGGGATCTTGGTGTGTGCTGGAGAGGAGACCATTTCAAAGTGGTTCTTTACAGTCACTAAACCCAGATCTGCCACAATGACATTGTGGGAAACAGAGGATTGTGGGAGGAAGACAACAGGAGCTTTAATGTCTACATCCAGGGAGATACGTGTGCTTCTCTCTGCCAGCTCCAAAACCCCTGTGGCTGCTTTCTCTGCTGCCTGGGCCGTCACCTCTGCCAATGCATTTTTAGCCTCCTGGAAATTATTAATAAATGCCTGAAAAGGAAAAAAAATAAAGAGAGGGAGAGAGAAGAGAGAGACCATTAGATAACAGACAAATATATATGAAAAAATAAATGCAAGTAGAGGCTAATAAAATTAAACATTTGCTGTGAAACTTAAGTGTAAAGAAAAACAATATTTATTGAAAAATCAGGTGAAATTAAAAAACAAAAACAACTAAGCAACAATTTGTTTCTATTAAGAAACTGTAAGGTGTCCCCCAAAGTTAAATTCTAGGCCCTCTCCACTTTTTAAATATATAATTAATAGGTACTATAAAAATATTTAAAAAATATAATTTTTTTCAACTATATACACTTACCAGTATTGAGGACATAAACTTGTTGAGGAAAATAACCTGAATGCAGCCCACAGTCAAAGTTACACTGGTGTCCACAATGTGCATGTCTGTGTAGGCGTCGCCCTCCGTTGCATCCACATGGTTCACCATGCGGAAATCAAACACCTCCTTATCCGCGATGGACACTGCCTATATATCATGACCATTCCATCATTAGCCTAAATCAATTCCATCTTACACTCTCACCTTTTTATGCATGATACAAAATTCATTAAAAAAATGTTAAAAATCTCAATTTTTTTTTTTTAGCCCAAAGCCAATAAGTTACTAATGTTTCAGCATTTCCACCATCATTCTTTCATTCATTTTTTAGCAAAGATTTTTTGTAATTAATCTTTTTAATGTCACAAAAATATACAATTCTATATACATACACATTTTTTAAATAATTGTATAATCTAATAAATAATACTGTTACTTTGACCCAATAAAACAGAAAATGTTAAGCAAACATGAAATTGAAATTGTTTGTTTTGTGGTTAAAAGCCTTTTTTTATTTTAACACTATTAAACACTTTATAACAAAAATAATGTAATGTAAAAAAATGTGTACTAGTTCTCCATTGTTCCAATTTACCTCCCATTCTATGATTTATTTATCCTTAAAAGTACAGCACTTTCTACCTTTTTATATAGTGCCTCTTTGTCACAATCCAGAATTACAATGTTCTTCAGGTTAGCGAGAATCTCTACGCACTTCTTCTTCATCTGAACTTCAGAAACCAGCCCTGGTGTAAAAGAGAATATGCAGTACTGGAACATATCCCAACTTTATTGTGTTTATGTGCATTTACAGAAATGTGTATTACCCTCTATGCTGATCTCAGAAATCCTGGCTTTCTCTCCTCTTATGAAGACCTTCAGACAGTTGAGGTCTGCTCGGATGTGCAAATTCACCACATCCTCAAACTTTGACTTCTTACAGGCTGAGGAACAAGCCAATAATATGAGATTAAAATTATATCATGACAAAACAAAAGAAGCATACAAAATGAACTTTCTTACAAGATTTCTTGGTAACAGCAGAATCCTCTATTTTTGCCTCCTCTTCCTCTTCCTCTTCCTCCTTGGGTAGGACGGGCTGCTCTTCTTGTGCCTCTTTCTTCAGTGGTGGGAGGAGGTTATTAAGGAAATTTATGGAGTTGAGGAGCGCCTCAGTGTGCAGGTGCACATCCAGTGAGGAGAAATTCACCTGGTGCAAAGACCATATATTACATATTTTAACACATTTTTACAATTAGTACACTGTTTAAAATCTTTGTGATCTGATTGGCTTACATTAGCTGTAGAGAAATTCTGAGCACTCAATTGTGAATAAGCTTACCTTGATTAGTTGCTCTGTATTTTTATACATCGTTTTGAAATCTGGTGCATTTTTGTCCGCCTGAAAAAGAATAGAGTATTATTAGAATAGTCCCATGCATAAGACTGTGCTGACACAATCACATCAGTGTTATTTTGTATCATTGATATACTATTATAGTTTTTTATCTTTTCTTTTTTTTATTAGATTTTATTTATTTTTATATATTTTTTCATATTAACTTTACTTAAAGTCATTTAGTTTTTTCTTTTTAAATATGTCTTTAGTTTTAGTTATTTTATTATTTAACTAAACAAAATTAAATGTTGCCTTGGCCACTAGAAATAAATGTTTACATTTTCTAATATTTTATTTTATTTCAGTTAATGTTTATTTTATTTTAAGTAATTAAAATGTTTCATGGTTTTAGTTAAAAATAACCCTGATCAATAAAGCATGATTATTTTTCTCACAAATATTGCATTGATACTTTGGAAAGAGACGTGAAACACATGGACTGCTACAGGATAATAATGGGTCCCCGATTATGATTTCACCTTTTTAACTTTAGTTAGTGTGCAATGTTGCTGTTTGAGCATAAACAACATCTGCAAGTTACGACACTCAAAGTTCAATGCAAATGGAGATATTTTCTTTTACAGAATTCGCTTTTTAAGGTCTGCGAAACACGGCTGGTAGGGACTACAACAAGCTTCTTCCTGGGTTGGTGACATCACAGACCCTCAAATTTACATAAACCCTGCCCCTGGGAACACGCAACAAAGGGGGTGAGACCATATTGGGCTGCTTTAAAGAAGAGGAAGAGTTGTTGCTGTTATGTACTAAAGCTTTAATAAGGATAAAACCATATATAAAAAGCTAACATAAACAGCAATAGCATTTACATATAACAGCGTATCTAAAAAGTATGAGACGACTACAAAAAAAAAACATAACATATAATTTTCTGAAACGTCCTGTAAGAGCCTTGCACAGGTTCTGCTCGATATTCTCTGGGTCTGATTCGGGCTCAAATTGATAAGGCAATATTGATGTCATTGTTTACAATACACTGGAGCACATGCAACTCCCGTTATGGTAAGAGCGTGACGTTTCCGGACAACGCTCTAGGCGGTTAGCGAATCACAACAAATTGGGACAGCTAACCAATCTGAGCCAGACTGTTTATTTCTGAGGTAGGGGCTTCAGAGAACCAGGAAGTCAACAGAATGGAAAAAGCGGTGTAGAATAAAGGGAAAATATGTGAAAAATAATGTTGTTGTTTTTTTAAAAGCATGAACGTGTTACAGTGCACTCCATAAACACAATCAAGCCTTCGAAAATAGCTGATTTACCACCCCTTTAAATTGTCCTTCATAAATAATATATAGAAATAAATAGTAAATGGATATTATACATTAATAGGCTTTTTTAAAATCTGTGCTATCAGAGCTCGACTGAGAGCAGGACTGTAATTAACATGAGTCATGCATAACGAGTCACAAAATTAGCTCTAATTTTGTGTTAATGTTTGGCTTATTAAAGCTAAAATGATCAAATGGCCTTCATAAAGCCGGAATCCAACTAGGCTTTTAACACCCACAAAGCTGAGACACGGCCAAAACCAAGAAAACTGTGCTAGAGAAATTCGCTTTGAACACAATGTTCAGAATCATGCCACAATTTGATGATAAATAGAGCTTTACTTATAAATGGACCCGAAGAAAGATGACACATGAGATATGATAAAGCAAATTTTACCTTGACATACTCCAAAGTGAGCAGATCTTCCTCAGTATTATCCAGAGTGGTGATAAGGTGAACTTTCTTGTCCTCAGAATCTTCACACAAACACACAAATAACTGATAACTTTATATTTGAACACAGAAATACATTTTAATATGCTCATTTGGTGCTCAAAAATATTCCTTATTATTATCCATAGCTGTGCTTTTTAATATTTTGTGGAAGCCAAGATAATTTTTTCAGGATTCTTTGATGAATAGAAAATTCCGAAGAACAACACTGACACATTTTCATGTCTCAATAAATTCCTCATTTGCTGCTTATTAATAGTTAGTAAGGTAGTTGTCTGGAGTAGGATTAAGGAATCGGGTAACACTTTATTTTAAGGTCCAATTCTCACTATTAACTAGTTGCTCATATTAATGCCTTATTCTGTACGACAATATTTTAGATCCCTCAATCCATTTATTTGAAATATAAATCTTTTGTAACATTACAAATGTCTTTATACTGTCACTTTTGCATTTAATGCATCCTAATATTAATTTCTTTAAAAAAAAAACGTAGTGTAAACAGTAGACAGCAAGGCAGATCACTAGGGTTAAAAGCCAGAGTTCAATGCACTTACCCAAGTACTCTGAACACTCGAGGCAGATCTCACGCAGGAAGGTGTATGAAGACATGTCAAAGGTGCGAAGTTTGAGTTCTGTCCCTAATCCATCAATGAACAGATGCAGAACGCTCACTTCCTCTCTGCCTGACAAGCGGCACAGCTGAATGGAAAGCTAGAGGGGAACAAAGGAGGGAAAAGTGTCACTGGGTGAAAAGAATGACTGGATGAGCCTTGAAATGTTAAGATCATTTCAAATGAACCATACAGTATATACACATTTCTTACACACATCTGTTATCATCTCTATACGGAAAGAAAAGCATAGTTCAAATATAACTTGAGAGAATCAATGATCTTGTGTTAATGATCTTGCATTATCAGACCTTGCTGATCTCAAATCTCAAGAGGAACTCGGTCATGTTCTTCTTGGGGTCTTTGAGCACCATGAACAGACGCTTATCAGAGGCTGAACCCTGCAGAGAGCCAGTGGAAGCCTCAAAGAACGGCAGATCCTCGATCGGTGAACTAGGGGCATCAAAGAACAGCTCCTCATCTGAAAAAGACAAAAATGGCGTTTTATGATATTGGATTTATAGAGTAGATCTCTCTCTGTGAATCAGTTTGTATGAAGGTGTGTCTGACCTGAGCCGTATATGATGGATGCACGCAGGTCGTCTATGGCTGGTCTTCGAGGGGTGAGCTGAGGCGTGTTCCCTCGTTTGGAAGACTAATGGGAAAAAACAAAAAAAATATCACATTGCTGCAAGAGAAAAACAACTCTCAACAACACTGGTGGATAAATGCAAGCAAAATGGAAATCGGTCCAAATATATCAGATCTAAACTGATTTGAATCAAAGGCTTGTGAATTTATTTGGGAAATCTTTATTGATACTCTATCAAATAAGGCAAATATCTGCTTTATCTATTATTAATAAATAAATAATAAATAAAACAACAGGGGCCAAACTATATACTTATATTTATCCATAGCTTGTGTGTCTTTTTTTAAATCACTAAAAGAAAGACTGAAAATTAAATTAGCCCTGGGATTTTAAGAGTTGTGAGAATATTGAAATTGTTCAAATGAAGACTGGCAATAAATGGGGGAAATTATTATTTTTTTAATTAGCTTTAATATTTGAGATTATAGGCATCAGATGATAACTGAGACCCCATATCGGACAGGATAGTTATTGTTAACTAAAATTATTAAAAATAATTTCCATTATTTGAAATGAAGCTGAAATAAAAATAAAGTATAAATATTAGATATAAAACTTCGAAATTAAATCAAATGAACTGAAGTACTAAAATGACTAAAACTAAAATGGAAATAAATTTAAAGCTAAACAGAAATATAAAAAAAAATTAAAAAAGAAAATGATAAAGAGATAAAAACATAATGAAATGACTAAAACAGAAAATATAAATAAAAAGCTAATTCAAAACAGTAATAAATAGTATAACATTACATTAATAATACTAAATTAACAATGACAGCAGATTAAGTTTTGCTTCCTGATTGCAACATTTTCAAAGTCCTGTTGTTTACCGTGTAAGGTATTATTTTATTTCAGCAATATAATTTAATTTATTATCTGTACCCATCATTTGCTGCATTAAATTTTATTATTTACAGATGAACAGTTAAGAAACACCAAAGGTCAGTTTGTCAAGTCACAACAACGATCATATCTATATTTGTCTGGGAAGACACACCCATAAGTATTCTTATAATTACCTTGGGTGTAGCTTGTGGCGCTCTAGTCTGGGGCACCGGGCGACTCTCAGGAAGTGGAATGCTGCTGAGCAACGCCAGGACGCCACGCACTTTATCATCAGAGATACGCAGAGACAGAAGAGGAAGCTCACCGTATATCTTAAACCTGAATAAAAAGAAAACCATTAGGTACAAATATGTCAACGCATGCACAATGTGTGATGATGTGTTCAAACACGTGCACAACAGACGGGGAAATTTCTGCTTACTTGGGCATTCGTGAGTCCGTCACCACCATGGCTCTGCTGAAGACCACCTTCAGGTCCACAGGCTCCAGGATGTGGAAAGCAGACTGTCTGAGCGGACGAGCCCGTTTCCAGTCACCACCTGATAACACATGCAGCATACAGTATGTAAAGCCCTGTAAAGTCTATATTATGTCAAACACCGTGCGAGTCTGCGCACCTGCTTTGGTGTAGAGGAACTGTAAACTGCTGAGTTGGACATCGAAGCTGTCATAAGCTCGAGACATGATGTCCTCTAAAGTGCTGCTGCCCACAGACAGCTGAGGCAGGCCAACTCTGCTCTGACTGGACATCTACACACAACAAACACACCCTTTTAGCCAACTAAATATTATCATCCCCTCATTAGTAATGGCCTTTTTAGAATATAAAGACAGCTATATATTTCCATGCATAAAACATTTATATGGTGCAATAAATATATATGTATTTAATGTGATAGTATAAAGACATCAAAATGAAATAATTTATGAAATATAAAAAATAAACTATATGTAGATATGCTTTTTTTTTATTATTAAAAGCCGCTGCAGTCAACAGAATAAAATAAATAACAAATAATTTCATGATTTTTGACAAAAATTATCATACAAGTTAACTCTGAAAGTTCCTAAAAATAAAGCATTTTTAAAGTATTTATCACCCCATGGGGTGCAGGACCAAGTTTGAAAAGCTCTTTTTTGCCAACTTTGAACACCCAGCTTTGGCAGTTTGCTGGATTTTTTTTCTTCTCTTAATGTTGGTTTAAAAAGAAGTATGACTCATTGGGGAAACAATTCCCAAGAAACAAGGAATTCACATTTCTTTCGATCATTCTGTTTGTCGTTTTGCCTGATATAAATTATATGAAGCACTTCATGATGAAAAATGATAAAGAACCATGTGCACTGACAGTGAGATGTTTTTTTTTTACCTGGAAATGACCCAAATCCAGAATGGCAAGGTTGTGTTTGGGGTCATAAAAGCCATTTTCTGGTACAATGACATATGAAGCCATGAGGTTTATCTTCAGATCCAGAACCTTCTGAGTCTCAATGATGTACATGAGTCCTGTGAATAATGAATAATACTGTTTAGTACAAGCTACTATTCTATAACCACAAAATTCCCATTTAAAAACATTTTAAAATGTAATTTTTTTTAACTTTTATTATAAAATGTGTAGGAAATCTGCAGGGTTTTTTTTCCAAGTCTGATCCACGTTGCACCGCCGACTTTGGAAAGGAAAGCATCTAGCAAACAAATACATGACTTGTGAATCCGCACACACCTGTGGAGGTCTTGTCTCTGAACTGCTCCAGCTTCATGAGGGTGGCATTGGTCAGCTCATCCAGCTGCAGGTCCTTTGGAGGCATGAAGAAAGCTGACATACTGTTCACTGTCATCTACAGAAAGAACAAACCACACTTAACATACTGTACACTCCACATTATCCATTCATAGCATACAGCAGGGTTTCCCAGATGGGGGTTCCCGAGTAATTAACCATATCATACAAATGTAAAATGAAACATAAGAGGTCTGAACAATTAATATAAATAAAACTGAAATCAAGACATGGCTTAGCATGATTATTAAACCCCAAAAGGCTTTGATTTACCCCGATGTACTACGTGTGTTTATTTACACGTGAGCAGCTGCTATAAATTTGAGCATTTGTGAACACAGCATGGGGCCAGGACCATTTTCGGTTCACATCTGCATAACATTTCTCAGAGCAGGTTTTTTGTTTTTAGCATTTTACCAGATTTGTAACAAGAAGTGTTTCTAAACCTGTAATCGACTACCTTTAAAGAGACTTGGAAAAACCTTCCTGCATTTTCCCCCCAAAATAAAAGCTTGAGAATTAAACATTTGAAAGTGAATAAATTAACATAAATATTAGTAATGTAACTTGTAGAATGAAATAAATTATTAGAATATCAAATATTATTTTCCTTATACAGTACAATTGTATTATTACAGTTTCTAATGGTAAAATGCTTATATTTCTGTCTTTTTTGCCTATTTTTCTAGAATTAAGGTAATAATAATAATAATAATAATAATACAATTCTACTTTTACTATATTTCTAAAATTCTACTGACATCAGATTGTGGCCCCTTATATATTTCTGCTGCTGAATTATCTAGGCAAAAATAAGGCGGCCATCTAGGCAGACATTTTCAAATAAGATTAAGTGTTTATCAAAAAGCAGTTAAAATTGCTATGGCCATATTTGACAAAATATTCACAATATAATTTTTTGACCAAATAGTGCAGCCCTTTTACATGCATTTCATGTACCCATTAACCAACATCAGACTGCATCACATGCAAATGTGTTGTTAAATTATTGAAATATTAACTTAATCTCAAGAAAATATTATACGACAAAGGAGTTCAAAAGTTTTTTTTTTCCCCCCAGTCATAGAGAGATGCTCCCTCACACTCACAGCGTCATAGATGATCTCCAGCGCCTGGGACTCGATGCGGAGTCTCTGGTCTGCACTCGCGTCCAGTGGGTTAGTCTCAAACATGAGGTCCAGTAAAGCCGTATCTTTCATCCCGGCCACATGACGTGGAGACAGCAGGATGGGGGCCGACCTGCCTCGTGGGAGACCAGACACTTCAAACGATGACAGCTGAGCAGAGATCCTGACAAGTAAAACATTATGTCATACAACAGCATGCTCTGGCTTACAGGAATTCTGCAGAACAAAAATTATTGTTACACTAATGTCAAGACGTGGCAAGACATTCTGGAGGCTTAAAAAGCCAAATGTGCAACTTGTATGTCTTCTGCACATCATGTGAAAGTTACGTCAAGATTTATTCGAGTGCAACATCTTGCCACATAGACTTTCATTGTAAGTGCATTATTGTAAATGTGTTTTGTGCTTGTTTCACAATTGAGGAACAAGTTAAAAGTATTTGTCAACAGCAAGTGTGACACTAAGTTGTATCGAACACAGAAAATCCTTCAAATTAAATGAATAAAAGTGGGTGAGATGAGTGGACTTGAGAAGAGAACACGGTACTTTATTGCTTGGGCCGCAGGTCTTTGAGTCAGCATGGCTTTCAGATCAATGACGGACAGTTGGATTATCTCCGGCTTCTCTCGGCTCTCTTTGATTGACAGAGACATGCGATTAAGCTGGAAATGTATCTTCATATTTTCAAACTGCAAACAAAAATATTAGTCAGGGGCGTGATGCTTTACATGAACTGAAGATGTGTAATTTCAATGGACTGGAACATCCTGCTTATACAAGAAGGCTAAAATTAGTTATACTGTTCATAAGTTTGGGATCAGTAAGGGGATCAATAATTGATTATAAGTGACAGTAACAACATTTATAATGCCACAAATTATTTATATTTGAAATAAATGCTGCTGTTCCTAACTTTCTATTCATCAAGAATCATGGAGAAAAAATCACTGTGTGAAATATGAAGCATTACAACTGTTTTTAACATTGATAATAGTAAAAAATGCCTCTTCAGCAGTAAATCAGTATATTAGAATGATTTCTGAAGGATCATGTGACACTGAAGACTGGAGGAATGATGCTGAAAATTCAGCTTTGATCACAAGAATAAACTACATTTTAATATATACTGGTAACACTTCACAATAAGATCCATTAGTTAACATTAATTAATGTATTAACTAACAATGAGCAATACATTTGTTACTGTATTAATCTCTGTTAATGTTAATTACTAAAAGTACAACTGTTCATTGTTAGTTCATGTTAGCTCAGGTACATTAATTAACAGATACAACTTAAAATTTGAATAAAATGTTAAAACTGAGACTAATAAATGATTTACAAGTATTTTTCATTGTTAGTTCATGTTAACTAATGTTAACAAATGGAACCTTAATGTAAATTGTTTCCAATATATTCATATAAAAAAGTAGTTATTTTAATAATAATTCATAATATTACCAGCAGACGTCTTTCAAAAACCATTTTAAAAACTGTAAATATTCCAAACTTCTGAACAGTAGTGTAGATATATACACGTATACACTTTGATGCAAGTCAAGTTGGGGAATATATCTTGCATAAACACTTATAAAAATCTATAAAAGAAACTATTAACTTCTAAAAACTGGATTTACATATGTGATGATTGTTTGTCACTAACATTTTTTGGCAGGTTAGGATTGACGGCTGTATCGCTGTATCCAATGGCAGCGTATAGTTTGGCTTTCTCCGCTGGAGTCATTAGCTCATCAAAACCTGAAAGATATGAACAGAAGCACAGCAAATCTATCAGAAACAGATGATGTGGAATATTTAAATATTACAATGAGCTGAAATTACTATCAGAAAATATCCACATATATCTTTCTGCAGAATTCTAGAGCTCAGACTCTCTGAAGGAATAAAGAGATACAGAGTGCAGACAAACCTCCCGTTTTGACATCTTTGGTTTGTGTGCCACTTTCTCCAGACCAGCTCCACATCCAGCCGAACCAGCCCTGTGACTGTTCTTCCTCCACTTTCACCCCAGGACGGTATATCCTGAGCCCCGCCTTTGAGGCCTACAACACCAGCGACATAAAATGGTGTTATTCAGTCAGAAACCAGAGATTCAAACCAAGACCTTTATGTTGCTAGCTTCATACTCCACCAGCTGAGCTACAGGAACACATTTCTTGTGATATGAGCCATAGGCCACATTGTATTGAGGGTTCAAATGATTTATAAAATGATGCACAAGCCAAATGTGACTGTGTGAGAGAGTATGAATGTGATGGTACATCACCTCCATCTCAGCCTGCTGTCTCGCCATAGTGATGTTGAATATATCCAGGGTTCTTTCAGTCTCCTAAAGAGTGAACAAAAATAAAAAGGTTATGTACAAAACAAAACTGTCACGGAAACGACAACAGTCTTATTTGGTTCTTCTCAAATTATAACATTCATAAAATGGGTTAAAAAAAAGGTGTTAGAAATGGATCTGTTGTGATCAAAACACACCTCCTTATTTGTAACTGATACCAGATTTATGAAATGTTACTTTTTTTTTTTTTTGAGTAATGCAGATTAAATCATGAAGGTTAACCAAGCATGTTGCATCTTTTCATTATGTAAAGTAAAACATCATGCATCATTCAGCAGAGGCTCAGTCTCTTTTAGAACAGCAGTGTTATGCTCACCCTGAAGGTGTATTTTTTATGTATTGCACACTCTCATGTCATCCCAAAGCCTCATGCTGTTATTTTTTTAATACAAAAGGAAAATTATTTGAATAGTCTTTATGCAACTCTTGTCAGTTCACAAAGACACAGTTCACAGTGACCACAGCTGACAAACTCCAAAACAAAACAAAACAGACAAACAAAACAAAACAAAAAACAGCCAAATTTGCCAATTCACAGAGATTTCAAAAACTAAAAAAACAGACACAAAAACCAAGATATATTTCTCAATTCATTGTACCAAACTCCAAAACAAAACAAAGTCGTATTTGCCAGTTCACAAAGACTCAAACTCCAAAACAAACAAAACAAG